GGGCCGGCCCGGCAGTCGGGACCCCGATGTTTAAGTGGTCATGAGAACCGCCTCCTAGACGGCGAGGCGCCTATTAAATATAGCCATTCTATTATTAGTATGGCAACTTGCAGGCATCAATCTCTATCGGCATTTGTAGCAGTTCCTCTGCACTACACTCGGCCCGTTCTATCCTTAACCACGCCTTGATCTTCTTCTCCCATCAACAATCCAACATTGTGAGGTAACACTTCATTTCCCTTGCAATCATAACAGAAACCATGGACGACTGGAATATATGGTACATGGTAGCACTCTTCAGTTTCATTTGCTTAGCTGTACTCGTGTGGACTTTCAAGAAAACCGTCACAAACCCGAAACTCTTCCTCATTCGCCATTTCCGATACCCACTGGTATTTCCCAAAGGCTGGTTCAGCATCACGCGAGTACAAGCATTAACTGTGGTTCTCTTTATGCTATCAAATTGCGCGATAGTCTTGGCTCCTTCTTTCTTCGAAGATTGGAGAAAGCTTCAACAGCGTGCCGCTCTAGCCGCAGCAGTGAATTTGGCACCACTTTGTGTAGGAGGACGAGCCCCTGTTATTGACGCTCTTAATGTCCCTCGCCGTTGGTATACCCTCATTCACTCCACGTTGGGTGTCATTGCGACATTAGAGGGAATATGCCATGCAGCTATAGCCTTGGCACATCATCCGAAGCCGGGGCAGATGACGAATTTTGGATGGGCTGTAGGTGTTCGCAAAATGAGAGCGAAGTGGCATACTGACAACAGCAGGTGCTTGGTTTGATCATCGGATCCTCTTGTATGGCGATACCAATTATAAAACGATCCTTGGGGAAATGGTTTCAATGGTCCCATAGGGCAACGTCAGTCGGAGCCATGGTTGCCCTGCTCTGGCATATCTTACAGACATCGTCCAATCGTGCTCGGATTCTAGTCTGTTCCTCTTTTGGACTATGGCTCCTTACAACCGCGGTACGAGTTCTGAAGATGCTATACTATAAACATACGGCCGAAGTTACATACGTTTCCAACACTGCGGTGAATGTGAACTTAGGCCCTTTGCCCCGAACGCGCGGCTTGTCGCGACTTGTTGCAGACCGAGCAAAACCTCGAGGCATTTTGTCCTTTCCTTTCTTTTTGGGGCGCGTTTCATTATTGCCCCTTGGCCATAACTTTAATACTTCACCTAGCCTTGTGTCTTCGTTTATCTCTGCCTCACTCCTCCATGCCTCATTTGGCTCTGTTGTATCCACGTCCATTTCAGCACGAAGAGATGCAGCTGATGCCAGCGATGGAACCTTCGCTTTACCTCCAAAAAAAGCTTGCAAAATATCGCTTTGCACACGTAGCTCTGGTGGCACCTTGTCATCTAAGGGTTCCGCGAATAGTTGTGGGAAAAAAGACGATTGCAGTAGGATGTGGTACCCCGCGAGGCAAGGTTTTCCACTGCGCCAGTCCCTCCTCCTCTTCGGCTGGGTGTACGATATGTGCCGGTTCTCAATCGGGTGAAGACGCCCTTTCTCAATATTCGCGTTAGAGAAACCTAAATCTTTAAGAGTGACACAGAGACGGCTTAGAACGCTATTATCAAAATTGCCCGCCATCCACACTCTCTTGTCAAAGTCCCTTAGAGGCGCCTCGGGTGACAAGTAAGGGAAGTAGCGCAATGCGGCTAGAAATGCTTGAATGACTGCAGCGTCGGCAGTTGGCTCATTCACCTGGATCATGCGGCCGTGGCCGACTTCCATCGAAGCCCCACGACTGTTCCAGTCCTTTTTTAAATTCTCAATAAGACTGGAACACATGGGCTCGATTGTATCAGCCCGGCTCTCTGACGGCCTGTTCTCAATGTGTTTCTCAAGGATTTTAGCTCCAATCGTCAAATATCTCATGTTTTCATGAAAGGTCTGGATGCTAGGTATTGAATCCGGGAGCTCAAGGATGTTGTCTTTAATTCTGTCTCGAGCACTCTTTGATAAAATGCCAGGAAACAGTGTTCCGTCCTCAAAAAGATCGCAGATCTGTGCTCGGTCTTGCGAATTCCACGACGGCGCCCGATATTGAAGAATTGCAACTGTATTTGCATTAAATAGATGCAGCTTGTCTTCATGTCCAGCCATTATTTTCAAAGCGACGTTCTTAATATGCACCCAATAGTTGATGATGAGCGGATTGATGCGGGCGGCCAGATGTTTTGCCCAGTTCCCAAGCTGAAGCCCATCCCAATAACCAGGAAAACAAAGCATGCTATCCATAGCTGCTATTATATCCGGATGTTTCCATAGACTTCCCAGTATCTTCCTCTTGGACCCCGACAGCTTGTCCATCCAGGCTTGGGCAACAGACACACGGTTCTTTTTCCAAGACCCGGCCATGTAATACCGCACGTTCTGGAAGACGGCACCATCGCAAATCTTGCGAGGTTGTACTAGCATATTGATAAGAACGTGACCAAACGGCTTCGATGGTAATATTCAATTATGACATACCTGGAATGCAGTACAAGCGTACGTTGCAAATATGATCCCTTCCGAGGACAGCCTTCGCTCTGTCCAGATCCAAGTCCTTGGCAGCGTAGAAAACTTGGTGATCATTGATCAAAGGACTAGATTCCAATTCAAGCGTCGCATACAATTGCTCGGGTGAGTAGCTCAAGCCCCGTAGAATGTCATCTCGGGTCCTTGGAGTAATCCGAACTGAGATGGCATGTCCTGGATCACGAAGATGCTCAATGATGTTGATCGGGAATGACGATGAATGAACATCCAAATCCTCGCTCTTCAGACTCGACAAAGGGACTCGAACTTTTCCTTCTAGATACTTAGACTCCATCTTCTGTGGTTACTGGCAACTTTTTGGCGGGCGTTGATGGTTTAGCCAAGCCAGAGTAATTATACAAATGGGTACTACTATTTGTCCTGCTGAATTAAATCTAGTACAGTCCAAGAAATATATAATACAAGTGTATCGTTTAAAGCCCACAACAACCAGTCCCCCGGTTCGGGGCGTCAGTGCCTCATCGGACAAGGCAAATTTAAAAATAATACTTAACGCCCAGGCTCCAGTGGACACCATCTCCCGCACGCCAACACACACAATCTTGCTGTCGCAATCCCCTAATCATGCAGCGCAACGACCTCCTCCATATTCGGTCTAGTGCAGCTGGTCTTCCTGGGCCATATCTGCAAGAAAACATGGCGCCGTACGAAATTCTCGACAAAATAGGCGAAGCAAAACCACGGACCATTCTTCTTATACAGGGGCATACTGAGCAAGGCGATGGTCTCAAGGGCGCCATGAGATTCCCATATAGAAAATTCGCCATAGCCCTTCAGCGTCAAGGGTCTAACTTAGTGGTGATGTGCGACATGCACAAGCAACCAGGCAACGCCATACCTCGCATCATAGCGGGGCCCGTTCCAGGCAACTACTGTTACCACCTGGTGCAACAGCCGCCCGCAACCATGACAGATTTGGCTTACAGAGTTTATTGCGATGTCTTTGCTTTATTCAGCGACATAGTGTTAATCTCTGTAGCGGATTTCGGTGGACTTGAACGGGTCCTGTCGTTTGTATGCTCTTGGGTCCTGCGCCGACAGTTGCAAAAACCCAAGCTTCGGACTCACTTTGTTGTCGCAACTGACAAATACTGCTTAAAGGACATTCAATTTGAACTTCTAGCTACTATGATGGCAGACCAGTGGACACAATCAGTGGCGAGTGTAAAAAGAACAATAAGTGATTATACAGAGCTCAGCGTTATTAACGGATCTTCTGCCAGCCCTGGCCTGGTAGTAAAGCTATTTGGTCTCAGGAACCATCGACAAGCTGAAGGGCTTCACTTCACTGGGTCCGATACTAAAATACTTCTTCGCGCCGCTATTGCACATTATACTGCCAAACCCATGGAGACATTCAATTTGGTCGCCGCATCCCGCCCGTCATGGCCAGTCCCTGAAGAACTGGGCCACCACATCGGAGAATTTTTGGCGGCTTGCCCTCCAGAGCCTGTGGACCATTACCCTATCATTGCGTCCGCACTTGTAATGAACGCATTTCACCCAGGATTACACTGTGAGTAATCTGCCACTACAACCGAATCTTTTCTGACGCAAATTAGCGTTTGCTCTGAACCTGACGTTTGAATCTTTATATGTCAAGCATTTGGCCGCATTTAAACAGCAGGCAGGTTGCAAGGGCTTAACGGACCGGGTCCGCAGCGCGTTTGTTGACATCGCCAAATACACGATCGGACCCGCGGTTAAACCTAGGGTATAACATCTCGCCAGACTACAAGGCTAGAGACCCATTTTAAGCGTGAAACTCCGAGCGACTTGCTTAATCTGTCTTATTAGGGCCGGTGTTTTCATGATGGATTACAGCCACTTACTATGCGACTATTATGTTACTACTTGTTACTTGCCTATATAACCTTACTACTATTAGTTCTCACTATACTTTTTATACTAATAACTAAATCGTATTACGTTTATGTTAAACCCGCCTACGGCTAAACTTCGTAAATTAGAGCTAGGCTGCCTAACACTACGGTTATATAATACGGTAAAGAGGTTATTTTATTCACTTTTTTACATTAAATTAAGCTATAAATTAAACTTCTATACCTCTCTAGATAATCCATCCCAATAACCAGGACAGCGTCAAGGGTCTAACTTAGTGGTGATGTGCAACATGCACCAGCAACCAGGCAACGCCATACCTCGCATCATAGCGGGGCCCGTTCCAGGCAACTACTGTTACCACCTGGTGCAACAGCCGCCCGCAACCATGACAGATTTGGCTTACAGAGTTTATTGCGATGTCTTTGCTTTATTCAGCGACATAGTGTTAATCTCTGTAGCGGATTTCGGTGGACTTGAACGGGTCCTGTCGTTTGTATGCTCTTGGGTCCTGCGCCGACAGTTGCAAAAACCCAAGCTTCGGACTCACTTTGTTGTCGCAACTGACAAATACTGCTTAAAGGACATTCAATTTGAACTTCTAGCTACTATGATGGCAGACCAGTGGACACAATCAGTGGCGAGTGTAAAAAGAACAATAAGTGATTATACAGAGCTCAGCGTTATTAACGGATCTTCTGCCAGCCCTGGCCTGGTAGTAAAGCTATTTGGTCTCAGGAACCATCGACAAGCTGAAGGGCTTCACTTCACTGGGTCCGATACTAAAATACTTCTTCGCGCCGCTATTGCACATTATACTGCCAAACCCATGGAGACATTCAATTTGGTCGCCGCATCCCGCCCGTCATGGCCAGTCCCTGAAGAACTGGGCCACCACATTGGAGAATTTTTGGCGGCTTGCCCTCCAGAGCCTGTGGACCATTACCCCATCATTGCGTCCGCACTTGTAATGAACGCATTTCACCCAGGATTACACTGTGAGTAATCTGCCACTACAACCGAATCTTTTCTGACGCAAATTAGCGTTTGCTCTGAACCTGACGTTTGAATCTTTATATGTCAAGCATTTGGCCGCATTTAAACAGCAGGCAGGTTGCAAGGGCTTAACGGACCGGGTCCGCAGCGCGTTTGTCGACATCGCCAAATACACGATCGGACCCGCGGTTAAACCTAGGGTATAACATCTCGCCAGACTACAAGGCTAGAGACCCATTTTAAGCGTGAAACTCCGAGCGACTTGCTTAATCTGTCTTATTAGGGCCGGTGTTTTCATGATGGATTACAGCCACTTACTATGCGACTATTATGTTACTACTTGTTACTTGCCTATATAACCTTACTACTATTAGTTCTCACTATACTTTTTATACTAATAACTAAATCGTATTACGTTTATGTTAAACCCGCCTACGGCTAAACTTCGTAAATTAGAGCTAGGCTGCCTAACACTACGGTTATATAATACGGTAAAGAGGTTATTTTATTCACTTTTTTACATTAAATTAAGCTATAAATTAAACTTCTATACCTCTCTAGATAACTACGTAGTTAAAATTCTTTGCCAGACGCATTTAAGTTCGGCTCTCACGAGAACTCTAGCCTGGCTTCATGTAAACCGAATTCACATTAAGTATAAAAGCTATTAGTCTAGTACGTTAAAAGCAGTGCTTTGCACTGCTAAGGCCTTACAGAAATGCTGGGAAGGGCAGCCGTTTTGCAGAACGGTGGTTATTGCTGCACATTCGCTGGATACCATAATCCAAATGCAGTTAGGCCCCATTGAAGGAAGGTTTCATCATGTCAGTAACTCTCCGTATAAGCTGGGTCATCTTCTTCAGCATCAAGAACAAGGCTGGCTCTTCAATAGCCAAGGACATCCGCAGAATTGGGAGCGGAGCTGTAATAGTGCACTTCAACTAGAACTAGACCGACTTATAGAGGTAATAAGATTGACATTGTAAATAGCTTAATTGTACACAACTGAAAAAAGATGATTCTAATGATATAAGACAAAACATGCAAAGTGGCCAAAGGCTGTTGAGATCATTCAAACTTCTTGATGAGTGCTAGGATTTCCTCTCTCTTGATCCTAGACAAAGGAGTTGGTTGGCGAATGTCCTCCTTTGTCTTGTGACTAGACTGCTTGGCCGGTTTTGTGATGCGAATGGGACAAATGGTTTCTGGGGAGGCACAGCGCTGGGCATTTGGGATGCTGTGAACCTCAGCCCATGGATGCAAGGGCTCTTCCATGAACCCCTCCCCCTCCTCACAGTGAGGAGTACGTACAATATTCAGAAGCGCGACACCAGGCTCTGCTTCCTCCATGATGCCGGGTGATGTTTCGCTTCCTATCGAGTCGACACATGATGACGACGATCTCGACGAGCGATTTTCTGTCGAGTCGAGACATGACGAGGATCTCGACGAGCTCATAGCTCTTAGGACCGCGACCCCCTTGCTTGGTTTGGACATATAGGGATCCACCTCATGAGGCCCAAGCAGATCCTGCTCGTTGATCTGTAGGAAGTCCCGAGCTAGACCAGGACGCGATTGATAGCCTCCTATACCACCATCGGGTCTCCTTGCAATGACCACTACATCGACATCGTATTGTCGGAATAAGGCGTTGGCTTTGGAAAACATTCCCCAGCTGCAGTTCAAAGTGCCGATTTCTGGTCTCTTGTTGACCTTTGAGCGCTGTCTCCGGGGCATTTTGGACGCTATGTTGATATGCACAATGAGACTCGTTATGTATTAAGTGAGGGTGGCGAAATCTAAGGTTGTACTTTGGGTGGGCAGCGTCTTCCTTTATCAAGACTTCTGTCCGTCTCCTATCTCTCGATTGAATCCGGACGGCTCAGCATCCGGCGGCAAAGCACCCTTCAATGAGATTGATGGCTCCGACTCCGAAGCGCCGTGCCGGAGATGGTGGGCCAGACCGGCAGTCGGGACCCCGATGTTTAAGTGGTCATGAGAACCGCCTCCTAGACGGCGAGGCGCCTATTAAATATAGCCATTCTATTATTAGTATGGCAACTTGCAGGCATCAATCTCTATCGGCATTTGTAGCAGTTCCTCTGCACTACACTCGGCCCGTTCTATCCTTAACCACGCCTTGATCTTCTTCTCCCATCAACAATCCAACATTGTGAGGTAACACTTCATTTCCCTTGCAATCATAACAGAAACCATGGACGACTGGAATATATGGTACATGGTAGCACTCTTCAGTTTCATTTGCTTAGCTGTACTCGTGTGGACTTTCAAGAAAACCGTCACAAACCCGAAACTCTTCCTCATTCGCCATTTCCGATACCCACTGGTATTTCCCAAAGGCTGGTTCAGCATCACGCGAGTACAAGCATTAACTGTGGTTCTCTTTATGCTATCAAATTGCGCGATAGTCTTGGCTCCTTCTTTCTTCGAAGATTGGAGAAAGCTTCAACAGCGTGCCGCTCTAGCCGCAGCAGTGAATTTGGCACCACTTTGTGTAGGAGGACGAGCCCCTGTTATTGACGCTCTTAATGTCCCTCGCCGTTGGTATACCCTCATTCACTTCACTTTGGGTGTCATTGCGACATTACAGGGAATATGCCATGCAGCCATAGCCTTGGCACATCATCCAAAGCCGGGGCAGATGACGAATTTTGGATGGGCTGTAGGTGTTCGCAAAATGAGAGCGAAGTGGCATACTGACAACAGCAGGTGCTTGGTTTGATCATCGGATCCTCTTGTATGGCGATACCAATTATAAAGCGATCCTTGGGGAAATGGTTTCAATGGTCCCATAGGGCAACGTCAGTCGGAGCCATGGTTGCCCTGCTCTGGCATATCTTACAGACATCGTCCAATCGTGCTCGGATTCTAGTCTGTTCCTCTTTTGGACTATGGCTCCTTACAACCGCGGTACGAGTTCTGAAGATGCTATACTATAAACATACGGCCGAAGTTACATACGTTTCCAACACTGCGGGCGCTGTCTTCGTCAACGTTAGACTGGACCATCCGATCTTATTAAAACCCGGTTGTTATTTCTACATTTTCTTCCCCATGACTTGGCCACCATTGGTGTGGATAAGATACAATTTTCTTCATAGCTTTACGGCCATTGCACAGTACAATTCACCGGCCGACAAAAGCGGACAAGTGTCTACTGTGAGCTTCCTCCTCTCCCGTCATGGAAATCACGGGACGGCCATCTCAATGCTCCATGAAGGAAGTCTTCTATTTCTAGATGGACCTTACGGCTAAGAGGTAGACTTGGCAACGGATGATATATTAATTTTGGCTGCGAAGGGTATGGGTATTGCAGGTGTACTTCCGATGGTTACAGACCTCGCGCTACGCCGAGACCATGACAACCGCATCAGGGAAAGAATCCAAGATTTAACAGAAAGTGGTCATGATCCCTTTGACCTCGGATCTCGCTTCTGGATGTGCTTAGACTCAAGTGCAACACCATCATTTGAGAAACTCATCCCAATTAAAATAAAGGAAGAAAGATTGCGCATGGCCGGAAGAATGACTGTTTTTGGTATGCAGGTCACTGAGTCGCGTTTTCTTCATAAGGCTTACATGTACAGCTTGCGGCGATGCGTATTTTACGGCCTTGATGCGAGACGGGACTATCAAGATCCTCAAGGACAAGCCCATCAAGTTTCTTGAATCCGAGTATCAAAGTCGTTCTTTGGTACGAGTGAGCTCAGTGGAAGGACCCCGCCGTGGGAACCCACGGAAAAGGAAGAAGCTGCGAGGGCATACGGAGCGTTTAGAGCTTCAGAATATGGCCAATAATAGACAAACAACGTATTCGCCAGTATCCGAGGGGAGTTTTTACTCTGTAAAGTTGTAATTCATTTTTTAGGTCATCTTAGCTATTCTACGGTTCCTGAGCTAGTTTGATAATTGTACGCTGTCTTTAGTTACTCTTAAATTGTCCCGTTTTACAGTGTATGCTTGGTTTGCCGTCAGCCCAAATGGAGCAGGGAAAACAGCCTCTAGGAAGCTCTGCTGGACGAACCCCCCACGTTAAAGTTAGTGCACGAAAGTACAACCCAGAAACCCCGTAACTACAAGGCGATTAATCTTAATCCGGCGGCAACTCAAAATGGAATATGTCGCGGCTATGCTGATGTATATATTCGTCGACACTTCCGCCTGTCCACCACATCTGGATCCGTAGCATTATACTTCAACCATAACAATCATGTCTCCTCTCAACTCCCCAGAAGGCCAATATTTGTCTCTTGCTGGTTCGTTCCAAAAAAGTCAAAAAACTTTAGCAAATAATTTTAAAACATGGGGTCTAAAGCCCTCCTCCAAAAACCAGGCACCCACAATCCTTGCTGCGACAGAAGCAGCCTATACCAACTCGGTAAAGCAAGTTGAAGACGCTCGCAACAGACAAATACTCATCCTCAATGAGGACTGGGTTAATGAGTGTTGTGAAAAAAAGTCCTGGATAGTGCCGGAGAACAAACATATTTGGGAGAACCACTCAGCGAAGGCCCCCAATAATCCTCCCAACCCACTTGAGAATCCTCCACCAAAGCCGCCTAATCCACCTGAGAATCCTCCACCACAGCCGCCTAATCCACCTGAGAACCCTCCAACACAGCCGCCTAATCCGCCTGAGAATCCGCCACCACAGCTGCCTAATCCACCTGAGAACCCTCAACCACAGCCGCCTAATACACCTGAGAATCCGCCACCAAAGCCGCCTAATACACCTGAGAATTCTCCACCACAGCCGCCTAATCCACCTAAGAATCCTCAACCACAGCCGCCTATTCCACCTGAGAACCCTCCGAAACATGAATCTGATAATGAGAGCATGGAGGTTGCTCTTTTAAAAAAACAAATTGAAGATTTAAAGAACAGCAAGACAAATGGTAAAGATGGTCCTTCAGATCGATATGATCAATCTGAAGACCAGAAGGAGTGCTTTGACATATTTTACGAATGGTCCAGGCGCTTTGATGACACAGATGATCCCAACACGAACAGATTTGAGGTGGATTGTCACCCAGCCGACATCAACAAACCGCTCAGCGATCGACGTAAAGAATATGAGATGGAGATTATGCTAATAACTCACTTTCGATCTTACGTATTTGTGATTGACCCGGAGGAGACGGTTGAAGGTTACGACTGTCTGAGGCCTGGGTACCTGATTCCAAGATCAGATTGCCCAGCAGCGGCACGGAAATATGAAGACAACGGTGGGGAGATAGTGAGAGCAAAACAAAAAGAAAATCTCCAGGGCAAGCAAATGACCGACTTCGTCTGGTGGAGTGTGGCTACGGATCCGGAGGGCCGTTTTTGCTACTGCTTGGGGGCTTTCAAGGGGGACAAACGGCCCTCGCTCTATTCCCGGTCAACCTTTAAGGCCAAATGGGGCAAGCTTGCTGATGATCAAATCAATGAAATACGGCGGAAGTTCAGTCAGGCGGAGCTGAACAAGCAGGCGAAGGCACGGTCGCAAAAATTGCTGAAGTTGAACTAAGCTGGTAATATATGTCGCTCACTTAGGAAGTTGCAATTATTTTTCTTGGAGGTAAAATGCGTTCATAGCAGACAGACTGATGTTTTAACTAGTTACTTGACCTTCTGTTTTCGCATTCCTGCTTCCAGTGTAACTGTCGGTTTCCTAGAGCCCGCAACATAGCGTCCCATTGAATACCTGTTCTAGCCTAATCACCAACCCTTGGCCGTCCCACCATTAGCACGCCATGGCGCAACAGGAGCGGTCGGAGTAGTAGGAGTTTCTGGTGGCAGCTTTTGAACGGTCAGCCACGTATCGATTGAACGTTTATTGCACGTACCTCTTTTTTAAGTGATATAATGTTAAGTCTCAAGTGGGTGATTAGTCTTGATGTTTTGACCTCAATATCGGACAGTTCGCTCATAAGGAAGTTGATGTCTTCCCGTTTTGCTTGGAGCGCTTTCTCTGTGTCTTCAAGCAGCATTATGCAGCTTGAGACAACCGATACTTTTGTCATGAAGAGGGACAAGGCAGAAGGCGTCAGATTTGACATGAGAAGACATCGTAAACTTATAGACTGGTAAATCCTTGTACATTGGTCGATGTTTTGTAATGTGGAATTGCGTGAATTTATACTCTTTTGCGATCTATTAATAGCCGGAGAGGAAGCACCGCAGATTACGCCCCCGGCCGAGACCGTCAAGCGGGGGGGCTGCCGGGAGGGAACATAGAATGGGCGTACGGTGCTCGGCGTCGTAACGGGCGAGGCCTACCATACAGGCCGAGTCACCAACCAAGGCCCAATTCCGCATCACATCAGCTATTTTTAAAGCCCTTGGAAGCCCGCGATTCCCTAAATCGACATCAGCGCCTAGTGTACGATTCGGTGATGGACCACTTTTTGACCCAGGTATCTTCTCAGTTGTTGCTTCATGTAGATGGTGGAGGTGGCACCGGAAAATCATACCTCATTAATCCGCTCTCCGCGCACCTCCAAGCCGCGGCTGCGGGGAGAGGGACACCCGTTTGGCGTGCCGCGCCAACGGGCGTCGCGGGGAATCAGATATCGGGCACCACCTTGCACTCCCTGCTACACCTCCCAATCAACAAGGACTTCAAGCCCCTGTCACCCACTGACATGGCTCGGCTTCAGAAGAAGCTGAGGGACATCAAGTATCTCATCATCGATGAGAAGAGCAGGCTGGGACTGCGACAGTTATCCTGGATCGATGATCGTCTGCGCGAGGCGTTCCCGAATAGAAACGAGGAGTTCTTTGGTGGTCTCAACATGCTTTTGGTTGGCGACTTCTTTCAACTCCCCCCCGTGTTGCAGAAACCGCTTTACTACGACAAGGAGGTACAAGGAGTGGAGATCAAAGGCAGGAACGCATATAGACATTTCGATAAATCGGCCTTCTTGAAGGTTGTGCAGCGGCAACGGGGTGACGAACAGAAGGCGTTTCGCACAGCTCTCGGGGAATTACGGTTGCTCCAACTATCGGTGGAGTCCTGGAAGCTCCTTTCCGGTCGGGTACAGGCAAAGCTAGATGATCAGGAGGTCGCCAGGTTCGCCAACGCCTTGCGAGTATACACCACTAAAGATAGAGTGAACGAATATAACCACTACCACCTCGACCGCCTCGACCGGCCAGTCATTCAGGTCAAGGCTAGGAATGTTGGCCCTGGCGCGGCTGCTGCTCCTGACGACAAGGCGGGCAACCTTGCGAAGCAGATTCCCATATGCATTGGGGCCCGTCTGATGCTGACGTCCAACCTACCGTTTACGACATCGGCTGGGCACCGGGGGCTGACCCGGTCCAAGACCCTCCCTGTGTTATCATGATGGGGTTTGACAAGTATAACGGACCTGTGTTCCTGGCCACCACTGATGGCAGAAAGATTGTCCTTATTCTTCCAGTAGACAGGGACTTCCTCATCGGAAGCACTCTCTGCACTCGCACCCAGTTCCCCCTGATCGTATGCTACGCCATTACTGTTCACAAGTCGCAGAGCATCACTGAAGATGTCATCGTGACAGATCTCTCCTGTCGGGACTTTCAGACTGGTTTAAGCTACGTAGCTGTCTCTCGCGTGAAAACGCTCCAGGGCCTGATGCTGGATGCGCCCTTTGATCGTAGTCACCTGGTTTACGAGTCTCCACCAGAGGGTATGAAGATGGAGCTGAGGGATGAGCGGCATAGGAGACGACAGGTTCTTACACGGAATCCATATAAGAAAGACCACGGCTCTTCATAACTAGATAACTAGTTAAACGTAATGGCTTAATAGTTGCTTCGCCCAAGGACTCCCAGCCTTCGGATGATCCTACCCCTTGCACCTACAGCTCTAACGTGCGAGGGGTGGCGTAGTATTTTAGTTAAAATAGAAGGTCAGAACTAAGGTAAGAGTTAAGGCTTAATTCAAGGTTAAAATATCAGCGAATATAATTTGATTTTCCCATTAATATGCCATTTGCCGTTTAACAACTCTAGAAAGCTAGCTAAAACTGTTGATTACATACAACATGATAACATGGATGGATATACCAAAGTCTGTGCATCGCTGCTCTAACCCGCACCCTCAGCGCTCTTCTGATATCAATACATGACCCATCACTTTTGCTGCGATAATATATCCGTCGCAAGCGCTCGGAGGTTCGGCGCCGTCACAAACTTAGGCAGCGCAATGTCTACGCCAGTCTCCCTGCGAATCCAGTTACGCAGCTCCACAGACACCAGCGAGTCCAGGCTATACTTGACGAGCGGCACGTCTGCCTCGACCTCGTCCCTGTCAATCATGGTGATGGCCGACACCTTGTCCAGGAGCGCCGTCAAAAGAGCCTCGAACGGGTCGCCGTTTCCGGACCGGCTTCCGCTCCCGACGCCGCCGCCGCCGCCTTGGCGGGTGCCGTTGGCCTCCGAGACATGGCGCCGAGCGTGCATCATCTGGACAAAGTCGCGCGGGTTGAAGCACTGCCATGGCATGCTGCGAGTGTCGCTTCCGTTGCCCACGAGGAACGATACTGCCTTGCCGTTGAAGTTGAGCCCAGATGAGGGGCCGACGATGGCGCCCTTGACAAGGATCCGTAGATGAGTTTCGTCGAGACTGGCCCCCAGTGACGTCTCCAGTTGCTCCGTCAAGTTTCTCTCGGCCACGTAGCCCACGTCCAGCACGGCCGGCAGCGAAATTGACACGGCATGGAGCCCGCGAGCCATGCGATATCTCGCAAAGGCATCAAAGAAGGTCTACATTCCACGTTAATTGGTCTTGGCCGTGCCAACAGGGTGAATGAGAGAGGGGGCTTACTGCTGTGCCCGCGTAGATTGCCTGGCCTATGTTGCCCATGTCTCCGAGGAGCGAAGACAAGATGACGAAAAAGTCCAGCTCAGGCAGCAGATGGTGGAGGTTCCACGCACCTTGGGCCCGTGGCTGTGTGATATTGTTCCAGTCCTCATAGTTGGCATTTACAAAGAGCGCGTCCTTGCTCCATTGTCAGTCCCAGACACGGTCAGCAGATGGACATGTATACTTACACGCAGGAAAAGGGCGCCGTGCACCACGCCGCGAACCGGTGGAAGATCTCGGATCGAGTCCAGAGCCCGTTGAAGCTCCGCCCGCGAGCCTACATCGCAGGAAATGGCTCGCATTTGCGCACCGGAGCCCGCGTGCGCATACTGCTGCAGCACCTTCTTGACCTCGGGTCGGGAATCGCCGCTGCGGCCGAGGAGGACGACATGACGCGCACCGTTCTCAACCATCCACGGTCCCAGTGATAACCCAATTCCGCCTGTACCACCTGTGATGACATATGTCGCATCGGGGCTCAGAAGAGGCGGTGCAGACAGCGGACGAAGAGGGGACAAGCACTCAGCCAAGACGGCGTCTCTACGGCCCATGGTGATGACAATCTTGCCCATGTTTTTGCCCGACTGGAGTCTCCGCAGGCCGCTTGCCAGCTCCGAGACAGGAAGCAACGTCACTGGGCGAATCGGCACAATGACGTTTCGGTTAAGCAGGTCAGTGAGCTCCAGCAGCGTCTGTTTCAGCTCGTCAGGCCGCTGTTTCATGTAAGAGCGAAGATCAACGCTGCTAAACGTGGCATTACGATCGAACGGCCGCATCGCCAAGTGGCTGTTCTGCAGTAAGTCCTTCTTGCCCAGCTCAATAAACCGGCCAAAACCGGCCATCAGGGTCCAGCTCTCCTGCAGAAGATTGCCACTAAGAGAATTAACAATAACATCCACGCCCCGTCCGTTTGTATCGCTCATAATGGCGTCCTTGAACTCGGTGGTACGGCTAGAGTAGATATTCGATTTAGGGATGCCAAAAGTCTCGTGTATAAAATCACGCTTCTCGCCCGTCCCAGCCGTTGCGTAAATGTTAGCGCCGAGGGTCTGCGCCAGCACGATACACGCCTGGCCAACGGCACCTGATGCGGCGTGGATGAGAACGCTTTCTCCTGACTGGAGGCGGGCGATGCTCTTGAGAGCCAGCGAAGCAGTGAGATACGCGATGGGGATGGTCGCGGCATCTGCGGTGCTAATCTTGTCCGGCACTCGACACGCTTGCCACGAGGCCACTCGAACATGACTGGCAAAAGCACCGCCGTATAACCCATAGTATATACGATCTCCAGGCTTGAAATCGCAGACGTCGGCACCCGTTCGCATGACCGTTCCGACGCCTTCAAGCCCAGGTCGGGTCCAGGGCATAGAACCTAGGACGACGAGGAGATCGCGGAAGTTCATGCCAGTAGCCTCAACGCGCACGAGGACCTCGTCGTTGTCCAAGGGCTTCTGTAGAGCGTCTGTTCGGCGAAAGTAGATGGAGCTCGGGCTTCCCGCGGCATCCATGGTCATCTCGAGTGCTTGCTCGCCGCTCCAGAGCGTCTGCATCCTGCGCACTGGGATCCTCGCCTCGGTGCCAAATACTTCCTTGGCTGCCTCGACTTGGCGGAGACGTGGCACATGTAGCAGTTCCCTGTGCCAAACAAAATCCTGGTCCAGGCTGCTTCCTGCCTCACCGTCTGGCAGTCTAGCCGCAAGCTTTGCAATTGCCGAGGCTCCCTGTGTTGTGAGAGGTGTCTCTTCGAGCCACAAAAGGTTCCTCGCCTCCGTCTCCAGTCGCAGCGTGTTGATGATGCCCTTCATCGACAGGGCCTCGGGAGCGTGATTTTCAGGAACGACCCACAGCAAACTCTTTGTCTCTAGCAAGGCTCTTTGCAACGACTCGAATGTTTCCGATGACACATCCTTCAGGATGCTATCCGGGGAGTCGATGACGATGCACATGGAGTCATCGGCGTCGAGCTCCAAAAACGGCTTGATGACGCATTCGCAGCCGAGCTTGGATGCGGTATGGGTGGCAACCATGTTGGCAAATTCTTGCTCTTGATCCTCCATGAAGGGGCCGCAAACGGTGACACGAGGAGATGCCTCTTCATCAGAGACACCGACCCTTGTCGAACACATGACACTCGTTTGGTGGTCGGTCGCCGTGGTATAATCCACGACGCGGCAATCTACTCCGGAGAAGCCCCGTGCAATGAGCAGCCTCTCCCAGGCTTCGTCCGATAGCAGCGGTCCTTCTTCGTGAGACCGATACTCGTCCACGGCATACCACCAGCCAGGGAGTACTGCAAAAGGCAGAGCGGCTGGCGCGTGACGTATCCCCTCCAGAAGCAAGAGCTTGCCGCGTGGTCTCAGCAAGCTTCGGACGTTGTCAATAGTCACCGTCATATCTGCCGTGGCGTGAAGCACATTTGAGGCAATGACTACATCATAGTCTTGAATTTTGAACCCCTGCTGGCGTGGGTCCTGGGTGATGTCGAGCTTCTTGTACGTGACGTGTTGCGACCAGTTGGCCAATTTCCTGCTGGCATTCTCAAAGAATCCAGCTGAAATATCTGTGAATGTGTAGCTGAAACACCCTTGCGATTCGTTTCCCTGCGGCCACAGCTCTTGAAGCACGGGAAGGGTAGTGCTTCCTGTCCCGGCTCCGACTTCCAGGATGCGTACATGGAAATTCTTGTTGGCTATTTGACAGGCGCACCTGGCCAGCGCTCTAGAAGCGCGCGCGTTACTCCCATCATCTTCGTAGCTACGAGCGAGCAGACCGTCTTTGAGCATAATCTCAAGAGGCTGGACCTCGCCGCGCAAGATGGGCACAAGATTCTCGCCAACAGCGCACATCATTTCGCCTTGGGCGCTGAAATTAGCCACCTCGGCCAGAAGAGACGACTTGTCATTATTATCCAGCAAGCCGCTCTCATCTCGCACGAGACCGGTAGCCCAGGTCACAAACTTGGAGAGGTGTGAAGGCAACTGGCATCGTTCGTCCCCAGCTGTCTCGTCTAATGCGCGAGCCATGTACGTCAGAGCAGCTCTGTTGGCCCTTTGTCTCCATGCAAGGTCGTTTTCGTCAACTGGGTCAATTTCAATCAACTTTCCCAGGTCTTGACTGCTTGCAAAGTCCATGCTGGGCAAAAGATCAACATGGTAGCTCACCGGGAGGCTGGCGCTGCCGTCTCCGCCGTCAAACGAGCCGATGGACCTCAGTGTTACACACTCCCACTCGGCGACAGGCATGAGGGAACCACGGCATCGTGCAAATACGGCTATACTGATTCGCAAGGTACCAGTTTTGGTGTCGTGGTCCAACAACTGCGTCACCACGGTGAAGCAAAGACCTTTTTCGGTGGGAATCTGGTTGGAGATTCGAAGTTGGCTGACAAAATTGGGCATTAGGCCGCCACCTCTTGCACTGGCCTTGATAAGAGGCCCGAAGCCTTGTACAAACCCGTCCAGGGTTGGAGGATCCACAGATATGAGAGAGCCGTACGGAGAGAGCCTCGACAAGTCAAGTTCACGAAGCTTATTTTCCGTGACGGTCCAGCCAGGGCCTTCCCATGATCTGACGATGGCTTGGAACGCAGGGCCGTAGAGTGTACCCCCTGACTCGTCTTCATCGTAAGCCCGCCTTGCTCTGGTCTCCTTCAGTCTTTCACTGTCGATTAGCGGCAAGGATGATTTAAAAACATGACTATCTGCAGTCATTTCACGCTCCCCCGTCTCTACTTGGCCATGGCAATGGATTGTCCAGCCGTCTTTCTCGGTCCAAGACGCAATTTCAAACGCCCAGGCTGTTGTAGAGAAGGCTTCGGAACCAGTCATGGATGGCCGAAGTTTAGTGGAGATGTCGATGTCATCTTCTTCTCTAATCTCTAAGCTGCGCTTAACGTGAAATTCTCTTATAAGAATGCTAGACGGCATTGCAGGGCTGATCCTCCTGGCGGCTTCAATGACCATGGACAAGAATCCAGTCATGGGGAAAATGACATGTCCTCCGACGTTGTGGTCTCGCACCCACGGAGCCTGGTCGAGAGTGAAGACCTGTCTGAATAAGTGATCACTGCCGACTCCATGGGGGCTTTTCCAGCCAAGAAGGGCATCATAAGAATGGCCGGGATGCAACTTGTCGTGGACGATCCGCGACTTGTGCAAATAGCGAGTCGATTTATTCCACGAGTATGCTGGGAGGTTGCTAAGGACATGGGCATTGTGCTTGCTCAGTTGGTTGATGGCGCACAATTTGATCGAGGAACCTATCGTGAACAGACGACTCGCAAGGCTAAGGAGGGCTTCATCTGCTCCTGTTCCGCGCACCAAGGAAGGATAATAGGCCAATTTCCCTTTCTCATTGTCGTCTTGCAGAACTTTGAACGTCTGCTTTACTGGGTTCTGGAGGGCAGAGTGCGGGCCAATCTCGATGACAACGGTCAGGGACTTCATATTGCCATCCTTGGCTGTCCGTCCATGCATATTTGTAACCGCGTCGGCGAATCTTACAGGCTGGAGGAGATTCTTCACCCAGTATGATGCATCCGTGGCGTCCAGAGCAGCGCCCGAGACGGATGATATGAATGAGACTCCATGGCTGATGGGGTCCTTGCCTGGAAGGTTGTTGCTACTGCAGAAAAACGGTTCTATCGATTTCAGATACCATGTCGACACCGGCGTCATGTGGTTCGAGTGATACGCCACGTCCACCTGGAGACGGCGAGCGAAGATGCCGAGCTCATCCGCAAGTTTGTGTATCGACTCGACAGCCGCTTCGTCTCCTGACAGCGTGACACTCCTTGGGCTATTGATAGCCGCAACTGTCGCATATCCATTGGCGTTTTTCTCAAGGAGCTCCTTTGCCTTGTCAGCCTCGACACCCAAAGCCAACATGGCGCCCTTTTGAGCGCCCGTTTTCGCCAGTTGAGTCGCAGCCTGGCCGCGGAAGTACGCGACGGCAATGGCAGTCTGGAATGACACGAGGTCAGCAGTAAACGCGGCTGCAATTTCACCGCTAGAGTGTCCCGTCACCACTGATGGCATAATTCCCCAGGACTGGAGTAGTGCCACTAGAGCGAGCTGGATGGAGGTGCACGCAGGTTGGCTGATTTCAGCGTCGTTGATGCGTGATTCAGACTGAGGCTTCTCAAGCTCATCTGACGCACATTAGTCATGTCAACTTGGAAAGCAAGAATGGGGAGGGGGTTTGAAATACTCGTCAGAGACCAAGGCGCTCCCATCTCCTTGAGGGTTGCTTCTGCCCGGTCCAAGGTTGCGCCAAAGACCTTGTAATGCTTCAATCCAGAAGCCATCTGAGCATACCTGTGAGTTGTAACCAGTTAGCCACCTCTCCCCCCCACGTTGAAATGGAAAGACATGTCGAAAGAGACTTACTGAGCGCCCTGGCCTGTGAAAACAAAGGCAATGGCATGATCCCTCATCTTGACTGGACTTGCCATCTCCAGCTGGGTCTTCAGATCAGCTATTGAATCCGAAGCCACCGCAATTCGATACGGATAATGTGTCCGGCGTTGCCCTAGTGTATACGCCAGATCATTGACGTAGCCGCTGGACTCTGTCACCGTGGCCAAGTATTTTATGATGGAAGTCAGGTATGACTGAGCGCTCTGTTCTGACTTGGCAGAGAGGGTAAATAATTTCGAATTTGCATGAATTCTGGCACCATGAGCTGTATGACTCGCTGCTGGCGAGGAGAGGTACGAAACGCTCTCCAAAATCAGCGTGGCGTTGCTGCCGCCAAATCCTGTATTACTCCGTTAATAGTAACTTCGTAATCCATGGAATTAGTTGAAATAATTACCGAAATTTGTTACACAGACACGCCTTGGCGCATTTTGCGGCCACGGTACCGTTTTCTGAGCTACCTGTTCGATTATTAGATTGGTATTCGTCTCATTTTCTTTCACAGACCGAGTACTAAGCGTCACATACCCTTAACTTTCCAGCTCCCTCAATATTGACATTAAACTTTTCAAAGTGCGCATTGGGTAAGATGTGGCCGTGCTGGATCATCAAGACGGCCTTGATTATGGCCAGAATCCCGCTCGCGCCTTCCAAATGTCTGCAAAGAGGAGAATCAATATGGAAACTCGGATGATGCACAAGGACGTACTGCAAAAAAAAAACATACCCAAAATTAGATTTGAGTGATCCAATATATACAGGATCAGTAGGGGTTCTCTCGCTCGCAAACACGGTCGCAAATGCCCCTGCCTCAATGGGATCTCTGTGGCACGACTTAGATGTGTGCTTGTCATGGTTTGTCTAATATTGGCATCAATATTACTTACCCTACCTGAGTGCCCGTACCGTGACCCTAAAGTTTGGGATGATAGATGAGTTAGTTCAGTTGAGTATACGTAATCGATAATGTCGTACCTCAACCACTGGTGTCCCGGCCGGTCGCAAGCCAATCTCAGCGTGGACTTGGCGAAGAAGTCTTTCCTGAGCATCTCGGCTAGGCATTGTGATGCTTTCCGATCGCCCCGAATGGCTGCAAGCTGAATTGCGAATAACTGCATGGATCGGGTCCCCATTCTCAAGCGCATCGACGACGGGTTTTAAAACGAGACAGGCGGCACCTTCGCCTCTGCCAAAGCCCGAGGCCTTGGCATCGTACGAAAAGGACTTTCCCTCGGGAGACAAGGCACTGCAAAAAGCCAATGAGTTTCCCAATCAGACAAGATGGGCAAGACATGATCCAACCATACCCCATCGTGTCAAGCATCACCCAGTGTGCCGGCCCAATAAGCAACGTGGCCGCCGCAACAAAGGCGGCCTTGCATTCACCAGCGCGCAGGCTCTGACACGCGAGGTGAACTGCGTAGGAGCTGCTCGCACACGCAGCATCTAGGGCAATGCTAGGGCCAACAAGATCAAAGAAGTAAGACAAACGGTTCGCAAACATGCAGCCGGCGGTTCCTGTGGCCGCCCATCTCGTCGCCGACGGTAGATCCTCAACTATTTGCTGAGCATACTCGGAGGACCCAATGGCCGAAAAGACTCCTATGTTAGCTCCTGCAAGATCCGCGAGGCAGATTCCCGCGTTTTCCGCCGCCTCGAGCGCACACTCTAGCAGCATCCGGTGCTGGGGGTCAACCGCGCGAGCCTCCTCCGCTCGTAGGTTAAAGAAGGGCGCGTCAAACTCGTAGACATCATCGGGTAGGAAATGAGCTCCTTGGGATGAAAAACAGCCCCTCTTGTCTGTATCTGCATCATAATACGCATCTTGCTGGAAACGGTCAGGCGGAACGCGAGACCAGGCAGACTTGGCCTCAGCTAAGAAGTCCCAGAGCCCTTTGCGCCCTACGCCTGGCGCGCGGTACGAGTATCCTACAATAGCAATTGGAGAGGTGCTGCTGTTCATTGTAGTAAAAGAATTTATTTATCCTTCTCTTGTCTTTTCTTCTCTTCTTTGCAACAACGTGCTTATATATGTAGCAACAGGGCGTCGGAGTGCGTTCGCCACACCTAATATTTGCCCATCGAGCAGGAGAGGACCAAGCGTAGCCGGAGCAATGATGTCATTTGATAACCTAGGGTCCAGGTGTTGCTGGCTGCAAGCGGATAATGACTTTGAGGCCCTCGTCTAGAACTCGGGCGATGCCTTGGGGAAAATTTCCAGAAAGGTACAAATGCCAAGAGGGGATATACCGGGTAGATTAAATAGAGTTAAAGGCAACGTCACGGCCCGGTTTTTGTCGAGTGTGTGGTCAGCAACTACTAGTATACAACTAGACGAGAAAGTACTTTTAAGGCGGTTTGGCTTTATACTTGTTAGCCTTTTTCTATATTATAGTTTTTAGGAAATTTAAATAAAGCGCGTAGTATATACATAAAGTCTATATTATTTAACTTGACTTTACAATGCTGCCTAGCCACCTGATAGCTAGCTGGCCTTTTAAACTTTGAATATATACAATTTTATAACATTTACCAATCACGTCAAGTTTGCTTGTTCAATTAATAGAGGTAGTCTTATCTAACATTTATGTGGCGGACAGACAGAAACCCTGACGCAATTTGCTTGGGGTTTTGCTACTCATGCTATGCCTTACTTTTCCCGATTTGACCTTGAGAGAAGCTAAAGGACGTGTATATATTAGTTCTTAAGTTTTCCCCCTAAATGAATAATAGTTGGATCGAAAAGGCGCTAATTGCTCGCGTTTATGTCCAGGTGAATATTATGTTGATGTGAGCTTAGCAGTACGAGTATCGCGGCCATGTAGTTTACCTTGTCCGCGATGTTAGCCTAATGTATAACTAGAGTATTAACGAAAAAACTAGTTTTTTAAAAAGCTTAAATAATTAATAGTAAATTTAATAAATTACCTAAATTATAATAATTAATATTTTAAAAAAGGTACTATTTTAGCTAATTAACTTCAGGAAAAATATAGGTCTTAATAATCTTATATAAGCTAAAAATCGGGTTTTTAAAAAAGCTATAATATAATATAATACAAGATAATACAGATATAATTACTTAAGTTCTAGGCTTTTAGAGTCACGTGAGGACCCGCTTTTACTATAAGCTTCCAAATGATAAACACGGCTATTGAAATATAATAAACTATACCTATAAGTATTTTATTAGATTTAATATTAATTATTTTTTAAAACTTAAAAAATTCAAAGAATACACGTGGAAATACTTTGTATAATAACTAATTATACTAGTACATTTAATATACTATAATATAAATATAAATAATTTATTTTTTTTCGTTTTTTATTATTTTTAACTTAATATAACTTAATATTATATTATTAAATATTATACGTGTAATTTTACTTAATTAATAAGTAATATAATTTAAACTTTAATCAATATAATAACCTAGTATAATAGCTATAAAAAGTGTTTAGCCTAAAAACTATTAGCTTTTAAATAATTTTACTTTTTACACTTAGAATTTTAACGTGTAAGGAAGAGGTGGCGTAGTATTTTAATTTCCCAAAGCTTATCAACTATTAGCTATGCGGGCACCTATAATATTACGTATATTTTTTAAGAAAAGTATATAAAAAGGGACTACTATACTAGAGACTTTTATAGGACAAGAGTCAAAGTACATAATAGTATAGAGTAGTTGCATTGCGGGCAAGTACCAACTTTAATTAGTACGCCTCGCGAAATTATAATAAAGTCAAGTAGGGCGAGGCACGATAAATAGCACGTCTCCTCGCCACTGACACGCTTGCTAGTGGTTGACTGTATTGCTTGTAAGCTGCCGTCGTCAAAACATCATCTTGATATTTACATGCTCTCTGTTCAAGATTCAACCACGACAATAATGCCAGACTCGAGGATGCCGCCACCGACTGTGTCGATGGAAGCAATAGACTTGGAAAGCCTTGCCGAGGCCTGTTCGTTGGCCCCCGCTGACATCGAGGATGTGTACGCTTGCACTCCCCTCCAAATCAACTGCATGGCCGAATCGTCGATTCGAACCGGGGCAAGCGTGTATCAATTCGTGCTGTCCATTGCCCCTTCGGTTGACCTTGATCAACTCTGCGATGCCCTCCAACGCGTAGTATGGATGAACTCGGTCCTGCGCACCCGGATTGTCGACTGCCCTCTTGGGCTTGTGCAGGTTGTCACCCGCCAACCGCATTGCACGGTGCGCCTGTCTGGACATGTTTCACGCCATGTCAAAGATGAGAAGGCATGGTTGCCAAATCTGGGCGAGCCGCTGTTTCGCTCTGCCATTGTCAATCGTAGACTGGTCCTGACCATGCATCACGCCATCATGGATGCCACGTCCCATTACCTCCTGCTCGTCGATATGATGCGTGTATATCATGGCCATGAGCCGATTACACGTGCCCCCTTTAAAGACTTTGTATATCATTGCTCAAGTATTGACGAGGCTTCGGCGAGATCGTTTTGGACGTGCCGCTTCAAAGGTGTCCCGGCTGTCTACCCATACGTCGAGTCTAGCTACACCCCCCTCGCATCGCAGCAGCTAATTCGGATGATGGAGATCAGCCGTATTAATGCGGATGTATCCCCGGCTCATATCCCCTCGTTCTTGGAGGCAGCATGGTCCCTAGTACTCGGCGCCTACGCTGGCAGCAAGAACGTTGCGTACGGCCTCGCTGTATCAGGTCGAGCGATGGCTTCAGGCGGCATCGAGACAACCATGGGGCCAACCGTGGCCGTTATTCCGGTGCAAGCCAGGCTCCAGCCGAGCATGACGGTCCGAGACATGCTTAAGGAGAGGGCCACGGCGCTGCGCCAGCTTCAGACACATCCCGCTCTACAGTACGACGCGAGCAAGATTGCTCAAGTGAGCGGAGCAGCGCGAATCGCGTCCGGGTTTCAGGCAATGCTAAACATGTTTCCGCCCATGCCTGAGCTAGAGACCTGTGGCCAAGGAGTCACCTGCGATGAGGCGGTCGACCCGGCCGGGGCATTTTCCATTTGCCTCAGTTGCATGTTTACCAACCAAGGAATCCTCATGAAGGCAAGATTTGACCCGTCCGTTCTTTGCCAAGGCCAACTACGCCGGTTCCTGTATCAATTTGAGCACACTCTTGCAACGTTGATGAGGGCAGAGGCGCAAACCAAAATTGAGTCCCTGTCACTGTTAAGCCCGCATCATTTTTCGGAGATTTCCAGGTGGAACAGCGGGTTGCCAGCAGCAACGAATACATGTCTCCATGATGCCTTTACAGCTCAGGCCACAAGATGGCCTTCAAACACAGCCGTGGAGGCAGTTGACGGGAGGCTAAGCTACTCAGATCTGGCCATTCTTTCAGACCGTCTGGCCGGCGAGCTGTGCCGGAGAGGCGTAACTGTAAACTCTGCAGTTGCGCTCGTCTTTACCAAGTCCATGTGGGCTGTTGTTGCCATGCTCGCCGTCTTGAAGGCGGGCGGAGTATGCGTTCCCATAGATGGGGCCCAACCAGACGCTCGCAAAAAGCTTCTCATATCCAGCGTTAAAGCCGGCGTCATCCTAACGTCGTTATCAGATTTTGCGTGTCCTGCCGGCTTGGTTGCAGACGTTGTCGTTATAAGCCCGGCATTTATGGCAGATTTGGCGGGCCCGAATGATGCGATTGTCGATGTGCAAAAGACATCACCAGAAGACAATGCCTTCATCTTGTTCACCAGCGGAAGTACTGGAGCTCCCAAGGGCGTCATGCTAGACCATCGCTGCTTGGTCTCTGCACTGTTCTCCATGTCTAGGCGGCTTAACTGGCGTCCAGGCCTGCGAATGCTGCAATTTGCCGCGTTCGTGTGGGATATCAGCATTGGAGAGGCGTTTGGCGCGCTTGTTACTGGTGGATGTCTCTGCATGCCCTCGGAAGAGGCTCGACTATCAGGCCTTGCAGGGTTCATACAGTCCCAAAAGGTGCAGTGCGCGTGGCTGACTCCGACTGTTTTGCGTACCATATCTCCAGACGAGGTAGATTGCTTGGAAATGATCATTTCAGGCGGAGAGCCTGTCAGCCCCACGTCATTCAGGACTTGGGGCAAAACGCTTCGTTTCGTCAATGCCTGGGGACCATGCGAGGCGTCCATAGCCAGCGCAGCCGCTGAGCTGACACCTGCGTCTCCCTACCCCCAGACCATCGGCATGCCTCTCAATTGTGCCATCTGGATTATAAATCCTGATAACAAGGACGAGTTGGTTCCCATCGGTGCCGTTGGAGAGCTTCTGGTTGAAGGCCCTGGCGTGGCCCGTGGCTACGCCAACGACGCCATCAGGACCGCGGCCGCCTTCATATCGCCGCCACGCTGGGCTGCACATCGAGCCAGTGCATCGTCGCGATTCTATCGGACGGGAGACCTTGGTAGATACAATCCGGATGGGAGCATTGACTTCCTAGGGCGAAAGGACAGCCAGGTCAAGATACGCGGCCAGAGATTCGAGCTTGGCGAGCTTGAGGGCGTCCTCTCTGGCCATGGCCAAGTGAGACACATCTTCACAGAGCCCAAGATCTACAAAGGTCGAACAGAGCTTGTAGCAGTCGTCTCTCTCTATGATCCACAACTTCCGACAGGAAGCGTTCTCCAAGAACTGTATCCTCCTCACGATAGGCTCGCTGCTGACCATTTGAGAAATTTGCGCGCCTTTGCGAGTTCCAAGCTGCCTCACTACATGGTACCGACTGTGTGGATGGCAGTCGAGCAAATGCCCCAGACAGCTTCGGCAAAGCTTGCGCGAACAGAAATTAGTGACTGGCTCAAGACAAAGGACCTGTCGTGCGCAAAAGCTGCCTTGTGTCCCATGGCTATCACGCTGACGCCACCAGTCACAACGGTGGAGGAAGAAGTGCAGTCTATATGGGCTTCCATCTTGGAGATTCCCAAAGACACGATTGGGAGAGAAAGCTGCTTTGTTCAACTTGGCGGAGACTCCATGTTGGCCATGCGGGCAGCCAGTCAGTGTCAGAGGAAAGGCATCGCAATTGATACCGCTCTCCTATTGCAGAATCAACCTCTTGCAGTCCTTACACAAGCATTGAACTCGACACCAGTTCGAATTGATGAGGTAGTACCGTCTTCACCTGAGAGGCCTTGCAGTGTTGAGTTTGGTCCTCTGGAGGGCCGTCTGCTCGCCCTTGGCCTCAAGAACCATGATATAAATGAGCATGACATCGAGAGCATATACCCTGCTACAGATGCACAAGCGATGATGCTTGCTGTCGGCTACACGGCGCGTCAAACCTGTTTTACGCTCGAATTGACGCCTGCTCTTGGCGTAGCCAAGCTTCAAGAGGCTTGCAGGGCCGTACTCAAACACCACCCGATCCTGAGGACAGTATTTTTCCAAAAAGGTCCCGTCATCTATCAAGCCGCCCTGAAGAAGCTGCATTCAGATGCTGTTATTGTGAAACCAGATGGTCAAGTCACACCGGCCGCCTGTGAGAGAGGTGCTTTGTTGGCGCATTTCTGCCTGGTTTCCGGCGGACAGAACTGCGACATCCTGAGTCTGAAGATACATCATGCTCTGTATGATGCTGTCAATCTGTCACTCATCTTTCAAGATCTCAGTGCGGCGTACCTGGGTGATTCAATGTCCGATGGACCTCACTTCCATTCTTGGGTATCGCACGTTGGAAGCCTGGATGGCACTCGACCGCGACAATTTTGGATAGAAGCATTGCGAGGCTCTTCCATTTCTCAGCTTGCTCCGCCGCGGCTCATGCCTATTCAAAATCATCTTCTTCGAGATTACATGCAGATTCGCACTCCCGTGGACAACTTGCACACATCTTCAGGAACACCTTCTAGTGTATTCAAGGCCATCTGGGCCGTGGTACTCTCGACCGCTCTTGACGTAAACGACGTCGTATTTGGTGAAGTCAGTTCCAACCGCTACTTGATGATGCCGGGAGTCGAAAAAGTGCGCGGTCCTTGTGTCAATTTTCTGCCCGTCAGAGCGCGCCTGGGCGAGGAAATGACTTTGGCAATGCTGATTACACAGATGCATGACCATGAGACGGCCAGCCTTCCGCACCATCACTTGGGCTATCGTTCCATCGTCAGAGACTGTACATCGTGGCCTCGGGCGTCTAGATTGGGCTCCATGGTTGTGTTCCAGAATCACAGGTCTTTGGACGCCTCTGTCAGAGTTGGCCATGCGGACGGCGCGCTCTCGGCAGTGGCTGACGCTGCAGAATCTGCAGATCTGTTGATGGTGGTCACGCCTGGTCTCAAGGACCTGTTGCTTGAGCTTCACTTTGATAAGGAAACAATACCTACGGATCAGATTAATTGGATCTACCGATCAACCACTGCCCTTCTACAGGCCATACCATCTAGTTTGGAGCAAACTCTCGGCCATCTTGGCCACCGAGTTCGAGAAGCAGTAGGCTCCTACGTGATGCCTCCGGCACCCATCACGGACCTACCCACTCAACCTTGCGATAAGCCCTCTCCATCTATGGAAGCAAGAGATATTGTCTGGAATGCGTGGAAGGAGCTTGAACTTCTCACCGTAGATCAAACAGAGTCTTGTTCCATGTTTTCCGGCGACGCAGACATGGTCACAATTCTGCTGCTCGCTGAGCAGTATTGTTCCTACGGGTATAACGTCACCACCGAAGACGTCATCCGCAATCCTAGTCGTGTGACTCAGGCAGCTCTGATTGACATTACTATCAGAAAAAGAGGAGCTTGCCTTACGAAATAGCACTGTGGTCGAAAAGTCCAAGTCAAATAACCGGGCTTTGGTCCATTTTATATTGAGCATGATGCGTCTTGTTGCAGTTCCAAATACAGCGAGTATCAGATACCTTGACTCTGTCCATAGAGCCGCTCGGGTACGAAATTCAACAAGCCCCCGACGAACATGCACCGCAACGTAGCTGAGAGGGCTTCTCACGATATCTCTAGAGGAAATAAGGGCGGTAAGCATCCCGACCGCATTGGATAAATATGGCTTGTTGGGAGGGAGCAAGTCTTTTGCCACCATGTCTCGAAAGCCAAGAGCGCAAAAGACATTGGTGAGCTGTCTGGGGCTATTGGCTCATGTTCATGTCAAATCTCCTGAAGGTGCAGAGGAGATGTCTGCTCGGATATTACTAGCTCTGTTTGCCAAGAAAGTGCTACCACCCACTGCTTACCTCTTCCTATACCAAAAACTAATAATCGACATCACTTAGTTCCAGTACAACTAGCAAAAGAAACTCGTAGCAGCCAAGTCTCTACAAGAGAAGGGGGTTTATTATTTAGTTTTATGCCAAGATTATTAGGCTAAAGACTTTATTTTTAAAGATTTTTTATTTTAAATACTTATAAAAAATAAATACTTTATAGCTTATTTTTTACTCTTAAAAAGTATATTTAATTTATTATAATATATTTTATTTAAAAGAAATTTTAAGAAAAT